AAATCTGGATTATCCTGCTTTGTTGTCATTGTGTCAATGGCATAAAGTAGTTTCAGTATCTTTGTTTATGGCGATATATCACTGTAGCAATATATCACACTTCAAAATTTATCGTTTTATATTAAGTTATCGTGACAGGCCTACACACATTGTTTTTTACTCTTGCACAGGATCCAAACAACTACATGAAAACAAAACATATTTTCTTCTTTTGCATTGATAGCAAAGGTTCAGACACTGTAACAGTTTATACAGCAAAGAACAAAAATGTTCTTCTGTGTGATTAATCACATTCAAAATAAACTTTGCTGGCTTGCAAGCAGTGGACTAGACACATTTTGATGCACGATGTGTTCCATGCAGTTCAATGATGATAAGTATTTCAGACAGTGAGTGCTCTGTGCCTTTATCAGCTGCATACATCTCCTCTGTGCCTCTATGTGCTTCACTGTGTCAGCTGTTGATTTAGCCGTCTGTCGTCGTAATCCTGTTACTTTCTCCAGATCAGTGCCAAGTGCCACACGCCACGTCTCGCTCACAAAGTCTCATTCAGACTCTCCACCCAAAACAATCCACTGCTCACGTCCTGGGGGCATGACCTTAGGGTTCAAAACAAAAAAGTCATATTTTGCTGGTAAAAAAGAAAAAATGAGGCACTGGGGTATTTATTGACCAGCCACATCCTTGGTAATCTCTTTTATTGTCTTTTAAACTTTATGATGTACTGTTGACATAAGGACACCTTTGTTTTCTGAATTGGCGCCCATGTGCATGGCCAGAACTCTCTATATGAATTTATTTTGCATTGAACTACTTGAAGTTGATACCAGATGATACAATTTCACAAAATGACAATCATACAGCATTTATTTATTTAAAATGGAACAGTGCACAGATTACATTAATGTCGAAGAGAAAAGATGCTCTGCTCTAGATTTAGCTACAAGATTCTTTCCATCTGTAGTCTTTGGGCAGGTTTAGACAGCCTACACTTTATAATCCTAAAATTAGGATTACAAAGTGTAGGCCATATATAGCCATGTGATTTGAGTAAAAAGCCAAATTGTTGGCCTGTGTGTTGCAAAGACCCAGGGGTGATGGCACCATAAATAACATAAGAAGCTTCTCTGCTGCTTCTCTCAAGATTAACTACTGAGAAAGCTGCAGGAGTCCAGAGTCTGTGTATGTCCTCCCCTCCTCCAACTGTGTGAAAAATCACTATCAGCACTCATTCCTGATACTATGAACTAAAATGCTGGAAGACTATATCAGATATGGACATAGATATAAGAAACAAACAACAATTTGAGTGCTTGTTACAACATCCTCTAACTTGTACTTCCTCAGTGCCTGACAGCATTAGACAACAAAAAACATTCCATATAGTGACCTGATATTCAGCATAATATGATGAATAAGGATCAGGAAGTGGTTTATTGCACTTGAGCTATTGTAACATAAAGTGTAGGTGTGTTCTTTCTGTTATTGCTCCATCATTGGCGCTTGCTGCGCCTGTCTGCATGCTGAGACACGCTTTATCAGCTGCAGTTCAAATAGTTGTATGTTCTGTCATGTAAATGGCAATATTGATCTCAGTCCAGGTTCTGTAGAGTCTTGTCTCATTCCTGAATAAAAAGAAACAGTTGAACAGTATCTTGTCTCAGTCAAAATGAATGGACTTCCTGTTTGGGCCCTGTCGTGTACCCCCCCTCGGCCATAGGAGAGCTCACCCGGGTGGGGTAAAAAGATGAAGGTTTTGGTGTAAATTCCATTAAAGGGCTCCTGACATTCAGATGAAGATGTTCATGATGCCTTATTTTAGTAAATGGATAACTGTTAGAGCATTAGAGATTAAGAGTGATTAATTTAGATGACAGAGGTATTTTTGTGACCTATGTTAGCCTAAGATACTTGTTTTGTTTCGTTTTAATCTGATTTGTTTCTTTTACTTAGCCCTGTGACCCTATATAAATATTGAAAATTCTGCATAATGATGAGATCCTGATTTTGGTTGGCATTGGCCCTCCGGCTGTAACTCGGCTTAGGAGTTCAGAATCTGCAATTCGGACTAGGCTGTGCTTTATAGCTTTCCTGGTCACAGGGTAATTTCTCCAAAAGGGTACTTGCAAAGTGATTTGTCCTAATTATTTTTGTATGAGCTTTCTGGTAAAAATAGCGGCTACGGAGTGAGTTGGTTATAAGTGCTCTGTCGTGAGCACTCTGTGCCTAAAAACCCTGAGTGATCACGAGTATAAAGAGTGACCACCAGTCACTTGAGTAGTGCATAAAACAATAAAAAGCAGAAAAATAAGACAAAGTTAAATCACTTGTTGGGATCTTTTGTTGAGTCTCTCCCTCAATTATTATACATATATATTTACCACGAGCAAGTCAAGTCATCCTAGGTGAGTTGCTTACAAAAATGCAATGTCTGAGGAAATTTTCTAATGCAATGTTTTTGATGCAAAGCTAAATTTGGTTAGAGGTTTTGAGGCACTGCTAAGGATAAATTAATATTTGCAATGTTTTTGGTATAAAACTAAATCTGGTTAAATTCTTTGAGGCACTGTCAAAAATGTGTTTTGGGCAAATGTTGTCAGATAGAGTATAGAGCATTTCATAAAGTGGTTTCTAAAGCTAAGTGAAGTTGTAAGTGTTCCCCAGGTGATACTTTAAGAGTTGTTAAAGTTACCTGTATGGTGTTTCTTAAAGTTAAATGATCTTTTTGAGTGTAGTCAGATATTTACCTTGTGTTATCGAAGTTAAACGATAATTTTTGAGTGTAGTAAATTATATTTACCTTGTGTTATTGAAGAAATTATATTTTTTGAGTGTAGTCAGAGTTATTTGCATTGTGTCTTTAAAGCTGAGTGATTTTCTGAGGGTTATTACAGTGATTAGGAAAAAGGTAGTTAGACTCAGGCTGCGTAATTTAGCCCTGGTCTTCTCAACAGGCCCACAGTTCCATTTTTCACTCACTGGACACCCTCTTCTAATACATTAGTTACGTCTTCTACTTGAGTTTCATTCACTAGACACTTGATCTAACTGTTCATTGTACTTAGAATTGCGTAGTTAGTTTTGTCCTTTATAACAATGATAGACAATGGGGGAATCAAAATTAAGACAATTAATAAGAACACAACAAATGTCTTTATTTATTTTCTCGTTGTGGATTGGAAGCTTCTCTCATATTATAATATGACATATTATAAAAGCTAGTTGCAGTATTCAGAGTTGAGTTGCACTTGCTGCAAATTGCATTCTTACTACTTTCATAAAAGAATTTCTCTGGCATCAGTTTATTTAATTTATTATTATTATAATAATTTTTTTCATTTTCCACCCTTCAGATTTAATTAAGCTAGCAGGCAACAGCATTCATTGTATTGGTTACCTGGCTGGTGCATTCCTTGGCTCCCCAGAGACTGCAGCTTGAATCAGGTCTCAAGTTCTTCCTCTGCCCCCTACTCTTCATCAGTCCTCCAAACAAAGGCCCCATTTACTATCTCTCAACTACACTAGTCCTTGTCTCCCATTTTCAGACTCTTTTGGCCTGGCTCGCCTTATTATTAGAAAAAATCCATTAAATCCATTAAATCTGGATATGAGGCATAGGAGTTTTGCACAAAATATTTTATGTCATTAAACCTAGTATTTTGCATTTAATCACTTCTTATCACAGGTGTTTCTCAATAATACTTTGCAATCATGCATTATTACTGTGAGCCATGTAACTTGGCCTGATGCTGTCACCTAGCCTGATTCATCAGACCGTTTCACTACATTTCACTTTGTAGAAACCATCTGACCTCACAGTGTTAGAATTTGTTTGCTCGACGGTAGGCGGGTACTTTTTATAATTTTACCAATTGCTGCTATTTGTTTGTGACGTATGTAATGCACCTCTAACAGGGCTAACTCGTATATTAAGCTTTTCCCAAATCCCATAGGAAGAAGGGCAATAACGTCTTTCCCCTTGATGAAATTCACCAAACATTCTCTTTACTCCGGCTTTAAATCCTCGATCTCAGGAAACGTTGAAAACACTGAATGTATGTCTCTTCCCTGATTGGCTGGTGCCCAAACTTGCACTTTCAGGATTTTTGCGAACCGTCTAGTGTATTCTGATTCCTGACCTAATTGCTAGTGATAAATGAAATTGAGCGGAAGCACTAGGTGGTGCCAGCCTGTCACCTGCTTGTTTCCATGGAGATAGTCTAGCAGGCATGTCCAAACTATGGCCCGGGGGCCAAATGCGGCCCTCAGACAAGTTTTTTTGGCCCTCATACTTCCAGGTGAATTGACCCAAATTACCTTGCATCAATTAAAAACATATTTTTTACCTCAAGTTTTTTGAAAATCTACCTTGATAAACATAATATTTCATATTTAGTGTGTGGTTTTGAGGATATTAGCATGATTAAAGACTGATGACTCATTCTAACGTGTTAAACATGCACACATTTCAATTATTCCTTGTACTGAGCATCAGTCTGCAGCCCTCAATCGGCCCTCTGCTTCATCTGTGTTTACATATGTGGCCCTTGATGAAAAAAGTTTGGACACCCCTGTAGTCTAGTTTAATGCCATATAGGTGAACATTCTAGACAAAACTAGCATATTCCAATGCTATGAAATGCAATAACAGTTCAAGCAAGTGGCGGACCATCTACCAGAAAAGTTAGGGCATCTTTAACATTGTGTGATTAACCTTGAGAAATGGGTGAAATAAATAAAATGCTACAGACCGAGGAATGTCTTTCGAAAAACTTGAGAACCACTTGTTATCCTGTCCTTTTTCTCTGGTGATTACAGGTTTCTCATGCTCACTTCTTTTTCCTTAAGCCTTTTGTAAATTTTGTATACTGAGGACTTGAATAACAGCAGTATCCGTTTCTTGAAACTGAACTTGAAAATTATGTTTTTCACTCAGTCCTTCACATTTCCGTTGCTATCTTGCTGATATAATGTCTAATAAAAGTGTTTTGTCTTTGCAGGTGATGAGGTATGGAGGCTGGGTCAGTGGTGCGCGCTGTGTTTGACTTCCTGCCCAGTGTCTCGGAGGAGCTGCCCCTCTTCAGTGGCGATGTCATTGAGGTGCTTGGTATTGTTGACGAGTTCTGGTTGCTTGGAAACAAAGATGGCGTCACAGGTAACGTTTACGCCTCAATAACCCTGCTAGTGGTTTGTTTGTTGATGATTTACTTGTCTGAAATGTAACTAAAACGGTAATTGAGAACATTTTGGAAATCTAAAAAATTATGACAGACTGTTTTAAAGTTTGCTCACACAATTGTCAGATAATATTATTTTAAAGAGTACTTAATTGTGTTTAAATATTTTCATCACATTCATATTAAGCCCTATTTGCATGGGATTAGATTTTCCTAAGGTAAAACTTAGGTGCAAAAGTTTGTAAAGTTTGGGTAGAGGGGCCGTATAGCATGAACTGGTTAAAAGAGAGACTGCGTTTCTTTCATAAGAAATATGATGCCGTGGATGTCATTTTGATCGCAGATTACATCAACATGGTACGAAAGAAAAGCTTTTGACACTACAATACAGGTGCCTTCTGCTAAAAACAAACATAAAATGAAAGCAAAGTTAGCGACATTGTGAATTAAAATGTTCTTATTGGTGCGTTTATCAGTCTGTCATTTCCAGAATAAAGTCCATAAAAACAGGTAGTTTACTGACATTGCTTATCCCGTATGAATGCACACAAAAACCAAAGACGTCCCTGGGTAAAGCTTATCCCATGGGAATAGGGCTTTAGGATGTGAAAGTGTGAAGTTGTTAAAGTAAAAACATCTCTCAGTCTATACAATAACCCTGAGAGAAAATGAACTCTGCTCATGTTTTTCCAGTGAAGACAAAATAAAATCATTTGTTTTTCTCTTGAAAGGAAGTGCAGAGGGGAAGTCTGTCAAAATGCCGTACAAAATGCATGTATTTATAACTTGAACACTAAAGTTAAGACTCTCTGAGCCAAGTGACACAAGCAGTATGGAACATTTCTGTTGTATTGTTGTATTGTGTTTTTGTGTGATTGTATTTTATATTGCCTTTAGACAGCACTTTGGACACCTGTGGCTGTTTTTAAATGTGCTTTATAAATAAACTTGACCTCACTTGTTTCAGGTCAGTTTCCCATCACCTTTGTGGAGGAGGTCACTATACCCAGCGCTAAGCCTGAAGACCGACTGTACGTGTGTATCAGTGACTTTAGCTCAGCGGAACCTGGAAACCTGTCCCTGAAAAAAGGTATGCATGTAAGCTAAAATGGAGTTACTATTTACTGTATATCAGTTACAAAAATGAGTTTCTGAGACATTGTTTTAAATACTGTTCTCTCACTTAGTTTAATGCTGCTTGTTACAGGATGTATTCAGGTAAACAGTCTTTTTCTGTGTTTTAGTGTAGTTGTGCTGTGCCCTGCCTCTTCTTAGTGACTCTAAATGCTCTCTTTAAGCTAAATTGGTCTATCTTTTTCATATACATTTTGTTGTTTTATCTATTTAATGGTCTTAATTTGTTACTGCTTTTCAAAAATAATATCTTTTTTTTTTTTTTTTTTGATAAATATAGTAAAATGCAGTTTATGTAAATACAATAAAATAACTGATGTATTTACTTTGTTAACTGACCACTAGATGTCACTGCAGCCCAAACGAATGTGGGCAAGTCTGTCCAGCGATCCCCATAGACTGTCCTGTTTGAGTAGGTTCTCTATTGTAGTAAATATGATCACTGTGGTTGTATAAGTTTACCCCAAGAAGATTTAAGCATTATAACAGCATTCAGAAAAATCCAACTAAGTGCATATTTCTGAAAACACCAAAACTTCATTTAAAAACAGGTACAGTATATCCAGTAAGTCCTAGTGTTATTATTGTGCTGTTATTGCAAACTGGTAATGTCATAAGTCACCACCATTTCCTGGATCATAGGAAACAGTTTTTATTGGCGGTCTCAGTTTTGATGTTCATTTCCAGTAGGATTTTTGGTCTTTCGTTGGTACAGGACACAATGGGAGGTGGAGCCACAGGTCTGAGGAATGTGACCCTCCTGACTTTAGACAGCAGTGCACATTCTTTTAATCCTTCAATCTGAGGATGTATGAAGTATACAAACCCCTCTCAGGGCATGAAGGGCTGAGGGAGAGCTGTGCTGGGGTCAGGAATAATGTTTGTTTGTGTTTGTGCCCCCAAAATGATGACACGAGTAATTCAGCAGCCATTTCAAAATAAACAGCCTCTCGCCTTCATCCCTACCGAAAACATTCCCATGCCAAATGTTGTATTAACTGTTTTCAGTATATTATTTCACCTCTAAGGTATTACCAGCTTTTTCAGTCTCCAAACATATTTAATATACATTTATTTGTTAATACTATGAGTTTTTCAGGGCACGACTTTTAACAGGTAGATTACTGGGTAGATTGGCAGAGATGCTTACCCTTCTTTATCCTCACCATTGCATTCAGTTGTAATGTAATGTAATTTTAATCTTGCCGATAGTCAAGTGAACCTCTAAATTGAATAGTAGACAGCTAATTCTTTACTTGATGTTCTTCTGTGTTTCAATCTTTTCAATGTTTTATTTTGAGTCTTTCAGAGCACAATCTTTAACAGCAAGATTGCCAGGTAGATTGGTTGACCTTATCTTTCCCCTACTATAGCATTCTGTTGTATTGTTGGACAAGACTTTTTAACCTTGCTGGTAGTGAGGTTAACCTCTAAATTCCAATGATAGTAGACTTTGAGCACGTTCAAACTGCACGTTCACCACATCAAAACTTAACCAAACCAAGAAGTGTGGACACAGTTTAATTGATGACCATGTACCACACTACAAAAAGTAAAATCTTCCCAAGTTAAAATTACTGGAGTTAAACTAGTAAAAGTATTTATTTTTTATTTAAAGTAATTATCTACCATTGCAACAACTCTTTTTGTTGAAATAGGAAAATACATCTAGTTTCTAATTCTTTGTACTTAAAATAAGAAACTAAACTACAAAAAAAAGAAACTTATTCCACTGGTAGATAATTTTACTTGTCAAGTGAAATCTACTCAAATCAAGTTAAATCTTTTTACTTTAAGTAATTTGAACTTACTTAAATATTACTTTGTGTAGTGCATTTTTTTTTTTTTTTACTTTGGCTCTGACTGAATCGCCTTGCCTCTTTCCAGGTGATGTGGTGGTCAAGGAGACAGGAGGCTCTATGGATCTGAGTGAATCGTGGCAGCGTGGACGAAATGCCTGGGGGGTCCGCGGTCTCTTTCCCTCTTCATGTGTGACAGAGCTGAACCTGTCCTGTCGCTCACGGTTACTGTCTGAGCGCTCTCTCCAGTCTTCAGAGCTGCCTCCCTATGCTCTGGGACAGGCTAGAGCCCTTATGAACCTCCACGCTCAGCTCAATGAGGAACTAGACTTTCGAGAAGGGGACTTGATTATTATTACTGGCATTCCTGAGCCGGGCTGGTTTGAAGGCGAGTTAAATGGGTGCAGAGGGATATTTCCAGAAGGATTTGTTGAACTGTTGAATCCACTTTGCTCCCCGCACGTACCTATAGACTGCCCCTATTTAAGTAATGATTGTGATATTAACTATGAGGATGATATGGGAGAAGGGACTGACGAGGAGGTGGTGCATGAAACAGAAGCTTTTGAACACGAAGAGCAAAAAGACAGTGTTATTGAAGAAACTGAGGAAGAGGATGAAGACGGTGCTGTTTATGGTGTAGCACTGTACGAATTTAGAGCTATGGAACCGGGTGAGCTGGACTTTGATGTAGGTGATCGTATTCGGATTTTGAGCACTTTGGAAGATGGGTGGCTAGAGGGAAAGCTAAAAGGACAGCAAGGAATTTTCCCCCATCGTTTTGTTAAACTAGAAGGCGCACATCAGGTGAAAACACAAGAAGAAAGTCATGAAATCCAAATGAAGGAGGAGGAGGAGAGAAGGAGAACAGCTATCCTTCAGATGATAGCTCATCTCATGTTACAACTAATGAGTGGAGAAGCTTTGAGGACAACACTGTTTGGGATTTGGATTATTTTGAGGAGCAGAGATGGCAAAGTGAACAGAAAAGTGCAGCTAATCAATCTTACAACAGTGGGGAGAGAGAAAGGAGTAATAAGTGGGATCAACAAACTTCTAGACCAGGACGAAGACCACCAGAGAGGCCAAGATCCGCCCCGCCACCTAGACCAAAACTCCCACCAAGGCTCAACCAACCCGCACAAAATAATAAGCACTTCAATGATAGTAACACAACTAGATCTAATCATACAAATAATAACAGACATCTGAAACCAAAATTGTCGCACAGTTTCACTCTTCCTAACTCTTCATCAGGCTGGTCAAAAGAGAGCAGATCCCAGCAGAGAGCACTAGTAGATGGTAGGAAAAATGTGAGTTTGGGTCATGCATTGGTTAACCTTCTTGACAGTGAAAAACAAGCAAAGCCAATTCGCCACGCAAGTTTCAATGATGCAGATAGGTTGAGCAAAGCAGAGACGCTGCCTAGATCGCAACAAAATAATTCAAATGGAAAACGGCTTTCGTCTATTACCTTGGAAGCTCTCACAAACACAGCAAGCGATTTAGAAACTAAGCTTTCCCAGCAGCTGTTTGAATTTGAAAAAAGTTTGGTGTCATCTTTGAGTGACAATAATATTAACCAGGCAGACCCAAACAACCAGTTTTCAAGGCATTTTTCTATACTGGATTACAACAGTGAAAGCGATATAATGCGAGGCACGTCCAATTCACCTGTGTCCCATTTATTACAATCCAACTCTGCATCTTCTTCACTGGAAAGACGCAGGACACTCCGACCACCCCCACCCCGCCCGAGAGCGCATCGTCCCCTAGTGCCAGCTCCCTGCAAACCTGCACGCCCTCCTCCAAACCCCCCAGGTTGTATCTCAAGACAAAATATGGCCCCAGAAAGACTACATTATGGAAATAACCCTATCTTCTACAATCCTGAAGAACCAGCAATGGACATTCTAGACCAGCCAATAGCAACAGAGGAATATGGTGATCTCGCTTTGGCACAAGAAGAGGAAATCCAAAAACAACTGGATGCAGAGAAAGAGCTAGAGGCAGAGGTGGAAAGAGAGGTGGAGATGCAGAGGGAGGAGGAGGAGAGGTACCAGTTGCTACTAAGGCTCCAGGAGGTGGAGAATGACATGGAGGCTTACGCACAGACAGCAGAGGATCTGAGGATGATGTTGGAGGAAGAGGAAGATGATACGGCCCGGATGCAAGCGTTGGAGAATCTGGAGTTCTGTAACTACACACTGGAGACACTGGCACTGGAGCAGCAGCAACTACAAGGTGCGTAATGGGAGATGCATGTTTTGTGTGTGTCACTTTTTGGCAGGGACAATGTAGTCAGACTTTGATCATTTTGGAAATATTGTCAAATTTGGACCAAGTCAGAGATAGAGGCGTAAATAGATTTAGTATATATAAAATATATAAAGATATAGTTCTCCAAGCACACCTAGAAACAATGAAACTTAAAATTACACACTAATATATACTTATTATATTTATTATAAGTATAATAATATGTTCATTATTACTTTATTTTTTACTCATATTTGTTTGTTTATTTATTTGTTTGTTGGAATCATCAATAATCGCACCTACTAGATTGATATATTGAACTTGTATGTATTTTTTGACCCAACTCGAAACCATTTAAGTGTGCAGTTTTTAATTAAGTTCATTTGTAGTCCTCTGCTCAATGCATACTTTGGCATCCCTGCACTTTTTCACATAGGTTCGAGGTGCATTCCAGTTCATAGTGAGAAAGCAGGCAATGCACGTGGCTCTCTGTGCCTGCTAGCAAAATTTCCAACCTGAATCTCTTTCTCCATCATCTGTTCATTTTATGAGAGTTAAAAGTCAGGGCTCTAGGTGTGGCTGGTTGGATAGTCCAGTTAAGGTTTAGTCCATCAAAACCATGGCACTCTTCACTACAGGATCGAGAAAGTGGTTGTGGGGTCTTGTGGCATGGCCTATTGTGCGTTTCTCTACGTTTTTCGGAGGTACTCGAGAAAACAGAGGGGGCAAAGCTGAAGGTAGGACTGGACTCTTTAGATGTTGCCCCGTTTGGTTGTCATAGCTGTAGATAGTAAGGAAATGGAGAGTGAGAGAGACTGGCAAAGATCATATTAAGGTTTGAGACTGAAGTTTAAATTTAAAGTGAGTCTAGCTTATTTTGCATGTGTTGTATTTTATTTTATTTTATTTTTTCCACAATAAATATTCTATAATAAATATGTAGTTAAGCCATTTGGACAGTGACGACTTTTAATATTGTTTTGAAGTTTTATGACATGATATGATTAATATGTTTCACAATTTCATGCAAGTAAACAGTGGGGCAGATATACGCTTGATATTTTAGATTTTAGGTTTAGATCTCCTGTTGAAACAGTTTCGGCTAGACTAAACATTCACCATTCTTTATTTTTATGGAAAGCCAAACTTCCTCTTTTTGTTCTATGGAGCATTGTCTTGTTTCAAATGATACAGTATCATTTTTAGATGTTTGATATGGCACTACATTTGGATAAACCTGACTGAAAGGAAGAACTGTTACTCTTCTAGGTTGTAGAAAATGCAGTCAAAAACTATATAGATTACCTGTGTGTCAGATAGACTTCTCTTTGTTCTGAGCTGGAGTTTCTGTGGTTTGACAATCTCAGAATGCTTCACATGAGGCACCGGACACAAGCTCTGCATGTACAAGAAAAACAGAATGCACATGTCACATGGTCGATAATGGATAATTTTCTTATTTTTTACTGAAGATTTTATTTCATACATATTTGATATTAGCTCTAATATTTATACAGAATGACAATGTGCCAATCTGTCGGCTTTGTGTAACAAGTGCAATGAAAGCTTTTATAAATATTTGAATTTAGCAATAATAATGAATGTAAATCCTTACAATAGCAGGACTTAGCCTTGAGGGTAAAAACAGGTTGCATTGGCTCTTAGTGGCTCTACAGGTCGTGATTGCATAGTTTCCATTTGCACATCACAGGTATTCACTTTTGTACTGTCTCAGATTCAATCACCCTTCTTAGGCATGACAATTGATTCTAACACTAAGGTTACTGACATATTAGCTAAACACAAAAGGTTATAACTATCTATAGCTATATTAGTGGTATATTAGGTTTCATTGTGTGTACAGTTTTCTTGTGTAAGTGAAAGTATGTACACTATGAGAAAGCAAGGTCTTTGTTGTGAATGTGTCTAAGCCTACTGCTATTATTTTCTCATAAAGTATTGCCCAGTGGTGAGAGTTTCTGTGCTTTTGTAGGGTGTGTTGCTGATGGCGTATTGTTAAACGAAAGGGAGTAGCGACATCACTTGTGTTCATATTTCAGGAAGAATTTTGGAATATGGCATTGTAGTGGTTCGGGTACAAACTTGGCGGTGATATTTAGAAGTAATTTGCATTTGTGAATGTGTTTAATTAGGACCCATTTTGTTCGTAGATTTTTTTAAACGTGATTTTCATTTTGCCCTTTTTATACCTCACTTTTAGTCTTTTAGGATTAGTTTTCCTTTGGTCCTGTCTTATACTTCATTCAGCCATGTTATAGCCCTATTTTTCCACATTTATATATTTTTCCTTATACATTTCATTCCATTACTTGTTTTAGGTGCACGCTGGTCAAGATTTAGGTTACCTTTTGTCTATGAAAGCCACATAACTTATTACTGTATTATGTGTGATGATGTTGTCTTTAATTATAAATCAACAAAAAATGTTCAATCAGTTTGTACATTTATATCCAAAAGTGTCTCTGACCAACCAAGGAACAGTCAAATAACATGTTTATTATGGGTCTGTATACTTGTTCTGAGTGCTCATTAGTACACTTTATTACTTTGACCTTTCCACCTTTATAATAACTTAAACCCTCCATTAAAATGCCCCTCTTGGTTTCCCTGACACCAAGCCATTAGCTTTTTCAATTTGTGCCAGTCTCAAGTTTCCTGCCGAGGACCCTAAACTCCCTTGTTGAAATATTGCTCTATTTCTGGAAGTCCCGTAGTGTGTAGATGCATTAAATGTTGATGTTTTTCCACAGATTTATTCATATTGTAAAAGATAACAACAGCAGAGGGTAGACAGTAGAGAAAGTATTTGACATTCCCTGTTGTTGACACATGCACACAGAGAGTTTCGGTTTTGTACTGCCACTGAGAGCCGAGATTCTCCATGCTGATAATTAGACTTGCATAAGAGTGAACAATGTCAAGAACGGCTGTATTAGCTCACTTGTGAGACTGACTGCAGCATGGTTTGTAAGTAACACAATATATGGTAGATGAGTTAGATTAGAGCTTTTAATTGCACTTTAGAGTGTACAGAAACTAGTATAGGTGAAGGGGATGTGCTGATCTACTAATATCACTATCATTAACATTTGTGCATTAGAGGACATTAACAATGTTTTAATGTGGAGGTGAGCTCTTGGCACTCCTAGTATAGGTGCAATAGAAATGCAAATATGCAAAGATATTACAGTATTACACCACCTTTGGGAATTAGAAGTATTCGTATTTTCCAGTAATATTAGTAGTACAATAATTGTAGTAGTTGGGGTATCAATAATAAACAATAATCAAAAGATATTTTAGCAAAACAAAGTTCTAATGTTTTGTTGAGGTTTCAGGTATCAGACAAATATAAAATAACTGTATCATTGCCCATATGTGCAGAGCTAGTATCTACTATCACTTTATACCTTTTTGGAAGAGAATAACATACATTTGTTCAATTTTGATTTCATCTGTTCTTCTTGAATATTTTTCAGTTTTTATTATCATAAACAATATAGCCATTATCCAAATGTGTATATTTTTAAAATTTAATTCCTGATTTGATCTATCGATAATATGATATATTCCTTTCCACTAGCAGTAACAGTAAGGTAGTAGTTCTGGTAGTAGTTTGTTTTGGCAGGTTATAAGGTCAAGTTCAACTCGCTTTTTAGATTTTCAAACCACATTTGCCCTTCTGTAATATTTATTTGTTTTATTCTTTCACAATAAACTTTAGTGCAGATTTTCTTTCTTCTGAAAACTCTGCTTCTTTTTCACGTGGGGACTGCTTTAAACCTGTGCTTGTTGGTTCAGCCTCTCGGGGCGGGGGAGGGATATATTATACTCTCTCTTTATGAATAGAGCAGAGTTTTTTCTCACACTGAAAGATTGTGTCTCTTCTGAGAGTGGGACAGTCCTCAACAAAGACTCATTGTAAAGTGTGCAGCTACATTTCCAGTGCACTGCCCTAACCAGGCAGTGTTCTCCCAGTAATAATTCTCAGTTACATTTATCTAGTGCGAGTGTTGGACCTAGTTTTAGCCCTGATGATTTTGTTAAAATTAAAATTTAACAAATTTACTATTTACTTTACTTTACTTTACTTTACTTTACTTAAGTAACAATTTTTTAAAGTTTAATATTGTTTATCATGTCCAAAACTTTTTGCACAGTTGTTTATCATGCTGCAGTTTACAAGACTCAAAGCACATTTAATTATTGAACTAATCTGACCCTCACAATGCATTGACTTTTGTAAGAAATGTAGCAATAAAAGAAACAGAATTTGGTGGCAGTCTGTGGGCCCCAAAGCCAGATTATAAAGCTGGTCTTCCATCACATTAAATCTGCAGGCAGACTGTTTTGCTGCAAACAGAAGCTCTGGCCAATTAAAACACAGGGAGTGGCTAGCCAAGCTAATCCTCCACTCATGTGACTTCACTGAATCATTAACCTTATCAGGCCCCTCCCACTCTCACCCTGCCCCCCTTCTGCTGCTGTGATTGGCTGAGGCAGTGGTAGGGTGGGGGCCAGGGAGCTGTGCTTGGGGCAGGGAGGTGTAGGAGCCAGGCAGTCCCGCGGAGAGCCAGACAAGAAAACAAGTGGAGAGTTTCGGGACAATATGCCTGACAGGTGGAGCCTAAACCAAAGGCCTTTGTTATGGAATGTTGTGGAATTCTGGACTTTGGAAAGAGGAAATAACTGAACAGGAAAAGTGGCTACACAGGCGGTGGTGATGAAGAGCCCTGTGGCGTACGGGAATCCGGTCATGTTTGGTCAAGTGGAGTGGAATCATCACACTGCTGCCCCCCCCATGAGGAGGGGCAAGAGCGTGGAGGAGTTGGGAGACGCAGGCTGGGCTAAAGAACAAGAAAGATTAGCACATCTACAACATCTCCACCATCTTCATCAACTCCAGCAGCAGCAACAGGTGGGATATCCTGGTTATGGAATGGTGCATCCTCCTTCACCTGGGAATGTCATGGTTCCGAGTCCGGTTAGCCCTATTCAAGCTCCAGGATTTCCGATGCCAGTCCATGGTGGTATGGTGCATGTCCAGCAAATGGTGCCAGTTGGTTCGGTACCTCCTCCTCAAATGCATGTGCCACCTCAATGGCCAGTTCAGCAAGCTCAAGTTAGACCAGTTGAGAAGTCTAATATCTACTACCATCCCGGGTCAGAAAATGGACACCTTGATGTGAGGATATCGGAATGGAAAGGAAAGCATTGTTTTTACCAAGGTCCAGAGGATTCCCAAAATCAGGAATACAACTCCAGAGTACAAACAGAGCGTGACAATATTAACTTAAGTTATGAAGATGCCAAATACGAGGACGATAGGAGGAGGAGAGAAGATTGGGATCGAAATCGGGAGAAGGACCATCATAAAGACCGTTACGCACATAGGAGGCATTCAGAGGATCTCATTGACAGGGAATTCAGTCGGAGATATGATGATCGCTATAATGATCGATATGACGATCACTATGACGACCGTGATCGGGATTATTATGACAATCGCAATTACAAGGAACGTGATGATCGAAATTATAAAGAACATGATGATTACTATGAAAGGAGAGACAGGTACGCAAGAAGAGACAAATACTACGACCAAAAAGATGAGGACTATTATGAATCGAAAGAAAGGTACAAAGATCATTACAGGGAGCGAGACAGATACTATGATAAGAAAGATGACTACTATGATAAAAGAGAAGATGAACGTTATGACTCTAGGGACAGGTATAGTTATAATCAAAGAGGTGAGGAATTTTCTAGTAAAAGACGTGGATATTATGAGACTAGAAAAGATGACTATGACAGATATAGAGAGATGGACAGGCCCAATAGGTACAAAGATCTAAGTGATGAGAGGAGAGAAGACTACTACAGTAGCAGCAGGAGAAGGGACCCTTACAGAGAAATGGACCTCTATGAAAGAAGAGACCAGTACGACTATGATAGAGAAGATCGGCACTACGACCCCAAAACGAGAGACAGATACCGCAATTTACGCTCCCTTTCTGACGATTCTCGATATGATGAGTACCCCCAAAAGGACGGCAAGAAAACCCACTGTGAAGAATGGGTGGAACAGCAAAACAAGAAGCTGGCTTTGGGTGACTCTTTTGAGGATCCAGGGGTGTACCGGACTGGCGAGGACATAGAGAGGGGGTATGAGTCCAGCACAGGGAGTACCAAAAGGGGGCGAAAACCGGTCTATGTGGGGTCACTGGATAGAAACAGCTTCTACAGGAAGACTGCCCCGAGCTCTTTGCGAAACTCCCAGTTCGCCACCACCAGGAAACAAAAGAAAGGTAAACACAACTCAAGCAATGTCAAGTGAGATAAGAGTGTTCACGTGTTAAGAGCTAATACAATGTCAAAATAACTGGGAAGAGGCTTGGTGACCTATTGGTATTGTTCAGTACTAAAGTTGCATTTTACTTTCAAGTTTAGTATTGTCCTTAACACACATTTAAGGAAATATCTAAGATATTTTCTTGTACATAGATAAATAAAATCTGTTTAACTGTAACTTTTAAACTCATAAACCCCTGTTATGTGTCACAATGGTATTCTATACTTGTTCTATTAAAGTATAATTCATAAGTTTTAAGTTTTAAAGATACTACTGAATTTGATTGCAATCTAGATCAAAATGGCCAATATCAGTGTTCCCCATACATTTACCTAAGACTGTGGTGGCACAAATACTTTCTAGATTAATCATTTCCTTGAATATGTTTTGTGGAGTTTAAATGTCACTTATTGCCTGTATTTCATCTTTCTTTTTGAACAGTGTAGTTACTTTTTATGTGAATGATAATACAAAAAGCAACAAAGTTTGCTATATTACGTGTAGGTTATGACTATGTTGGGAATTTTACATTATAGGAGACCACCATAGCCTCTTTAACACTGAATGTTATTACCTCCCCTAGTCTCTTCAGTGATAATACTTTTAAAAACCTTTATTTAAGTTAAGCCTTTATTTAAGCTCTTTGTATGAGTCATGGGTCACAGATGTAAAACTTTTATAAACTTTTATACTACACATTCACTAACTTATATTAGATAGAATTTCAGATCTGAATATGTGTCTGAGAACAAGGTTGTGTTGGTATTCCCATAGACAGGAAGTGGTGGTTAGTGTCTCACCCTGACCTCTGGAGATCCTTGTCTAATCAATTTGACAAAAATGCTGATGAAGAAAGCACCCTCCCAGCTGTGAGTGAGTCAGTATCACCTATCTCCTCAGAGGAAGATGTCAAGTATGCGTATGTGAATGGACTTGAAAAACTGGTCTGACAAGGGTGTAGACGTTTTGTTGCCTGTCATTCACTCAAGCTGTCTGGTTTTCTGTTTTTGGGTCTCATATTTTGCATTGCTAATGCTAGAGCTGGAATCAGAACTTGTTTGAGGAGTTGTTCCATTGCCAAAGGTCGGCTGTTTATAACTTTTATGACTGAGAAACCAAGAGTTAGTGAAACAAATCATAGTCCAGTCACAGTGTAGTGTCTGACTCAAAAAAACACAGTCTTATCTCTCTTAACTGATGGCATGTGTCCTCAGGCTAAAGCCACATCACATCACTTTATCTAAATGTTTGTTTTATGAGGCCAGAATCATCAAGATCCTGAAGATTTGAACCCGTATTTGAAACACAAACAATATTTGAATTGACAATGTTGTTTCTGCCCTGAGGTGTAAACACATATCACCTACTGTTAAGTTTTGTAACTTTTCAGCCATGTTTTCACAAAACTTAGCAGACAAGTGACTTAACACTGAATACCTACTGTGTTGAGTTAGAGAAATAGTTCACTCAACTTCACTGGCAAAACTCATGATTACATCTCCCCTTGTTTTCCATTGATGCCCAGTTTGAACTTCATTTATCTTAACTGTAGCCTACGCTTAAAAGCATTGTATTTACATAGTTTGGATAAGTGTTGAGAGTTCTTAAAAGTCAAAGTTAAGTTACCGGTAGTATATTTATTACAGATGACGTACATAGTCAAACCTAAGCTACAGGGAGGGTGTAAATGGTGATACTGAAATAAGGCTTGGCAACAGGCAGAAGTCAAGATGAATTATATCAAAATTGTATGCTAAATTAATGTCTGTAACCCCTTGTTGTCAACACTGGCACTTGACATCAAAGTCTGTACTATCTATTGTTTCGATTTCTTTGTTCGTTCACTTTAATCAAACTTGACAATGAATAGTTATACAAGGCTTCATTTACCAGAACACATTTGGTTTCCTTTTGATTTCTGGAACAAAATTTCCTTGGGATCTGATTGATATTTGAGACCATTATAATATTAAATCTGTAATGTAATGTCTGTTGTCTAGTTAGCATTTACTTGTCTGTTACACTAGTCAAATGTAACTGCTAATCAACATAAGCACTGATTGAAAGTGCTGATCTATTTCTGAAAATAATTGGTAAATACATTTCCATTCTTTGTTTCTCATCACTCTCAAATACTTGGAAGTGTCCTCTATGTACACTTGATGCTAGATTGATGACACTTGTTGTGCTCTTGTCTCTGTTTGAGTAGTAGCAGGTGGCGCCCCTTCAGACCGCCCCTCCCCCAGTCACCTACCAGCCACCCTCGGACCACTATAGATCCAATTCAGGAGTCCATGTTTAATCTCTAGCGTCAGCATTGTGAGTAGATAGTGGGGGTCTGTCTGGTGCCTGCTTGTGACTAGTACCTCCTCCTCCTTCACTATTCGTCTGATAGTCCAAGTGTGTGTATGTGTGTGCTGTTTGGAAGCTTATAAGCTATTAAATGACGCCATGTTTGAAAGGCCACATGGACATTTACTCTCTTTACTCTAGCGCTGTCTTCTCGTCATCCTTTAATCTCGTTAAATTGTTTCAGCGCGGTCAGGACTTTGGATAGAGGTTGATTGTCAGGCTAAAAACATTACAGCATCATGGCAGAGTGGTTATAGGGGGGACATTGTAGTTCAGTTGACATTGAGGTTTTGTACAAATATCAAATTATCGTGCGTAGGTCTTGGGAGATAAGCCTACTATATTTTTATCTGGTTGATGATATCTCTTTAGTTTTGATTAAAGGTCCAGTAGCACAAAAAATTTATTCATGTGACCTTTAAGACATATTAGAATGCTGCCACCTTTTCAAACACATATCCAGAGTTGTGTTTCATTCACACATGTTTGGTAATGCTACGGTATTAGACTGTCTACATCTCCAAAGCTCAAAATGCTCTGCTACACCCTGTGATGTCATAAAATGGTCATTTTCAAGTCAAGTTAACAGCTGCCTTTTTACCTTTTTGTTCAGAAGAAATAGGCAATTGATCAGAGAGTGGCAGGAAATTATCCAGTTGATTCTAGTGAAGATGGATGGAGTTTAAAAAGACACTGGAGCACTTCCTGTTTTGCCACATGACAGGTGGAACATTCAATATGTGTGAATGAAACAAAACACAACTTTGAATATGTTTTTGAGAAGGTGATATTATAACATAGATCAGAAAATGGTGTAATATGGGCTCTCTAAGTATTGACGTACACCGCTATATTATATTATACTAAATAATGTTATGTATTAATGCCGCTCTATTTAATCTTAGTTAGGCAGTTTTTCTGTACAACCACTGCATGGTGTAGGCTATTTGGCAAAATACTGATATACTAATATACTCTAATCAGTTGACACTGGTTATTCTTGATCAATTTTCCATTGAAATTTAATTAGAAGAAATGCAGTCGTTTGCCTAATATTATTACTTTGCGATTGTTTTGGTGTAGGTCTATTGACACATTTCTATGGATGTACCCGTACGTTGTTTTCGCAGTAACTAGAGAGCACCAGTGTTAACATTGTGTGTGGTAGTGGGTCAATAATATGCCACCCCTATGAAAAATCTGCTACTCAACATTTTCTCAGATAGTGGTGTGGGAAAAAGGCAGTAGTAGGAGTAGTATACCGAGTGAATACTTACTGCTATACTTATTGTTCTGTCAAAAATAACAAATATCGAATATTTTTAAAGCCAGTGTAATTATGATTATCTCTTTAGATCTTTTTTTTTTTTTGCTTTATTTGTATTTCAATTCAAGTTTGAGGCAACAACACTGAAACTAACCTATGTTCATAATCATTAACTATGATTCGTGGCTCATAATTAACATTTAAATTGTAACCTGTGGTATCAGCCAATGCTTTGTGACAATAGCTGTGTCTGGCATTGCATTGCAGTGACACATTTCTTTGTATGAGCTGGTGTTTCTTATGAAAACATAAAAATATTCCCCCGCCTTCAGCCAAATGCTGTTATGAAATCCTCAAACAATAGGGGTCAAATTTTAGGGATAGCTGCTGTACAAATTTATACTCACCATGGTTATTATCAGTCTAGCATCTCTCACATATTTATTAAAGGTCCTACATTACGCAAAATTTACTCTTGTGAGCGTTAAGCCATGTTTAAATGTTCTCTGTTCACTGTTCTACCTTGTGATCTCATGAAGCAGTAGTTTCCAAGTTAACAGCTACCTTTTGTTCTGTCTAGATTGGTAATTCCAGGTCTGAAATTATCCAAATAATTCAGGTGGTTATGGAGTTTAAAAACACAGTGGAGTATTCCTATATTACCACATGACATCACAAGGTGGAACAGAGTGTTTTTTGTCTGAGAGTAGAACACAGCCTAAGCACACAAGGTTTATGTGTCAAACAAGTGTGAATGAAACACAGTGCAACTCCAGGTATGTTTGTGATGAGGAAACAACATTATAACATAGATATACAGTTTTGGTAGGTGCTAACTAAATATAACTTTACATTTTTAGTGCTTAACAGAAAACATCCACATCCACATAATGTATGACCATTCGCTGCTTAGTTATATTGTAAGAGATCAATGCAGAGGTTTTTCTAGTTTTCACTGAAAAGGTGTGTTTTGAACATTCTTAGTCCTGCTTACTGCTATAACCTTTACTAGCGCTATTATCTACTCTTTTTTTAGACTTTTGTACAAAGCAAAACTTTTATTTCAATATTGTATCACAGTATAAACGCAACAGTTATTATGAAAACCGTTATCCACCCTGCGGCAGCACCTGTCTTTTCATGTTTTGCAATTAACATCAGATTTAATATTGTCTGATCATGTCTTAACACCAGCCCATTTTCCCACACAATTTTCCCACGCAGGATAGCTCTGCAGCAAAGTCATGGCTCACAATGGCTGAATAGGAAATGTAAATGACTGGTGCTTGGATCCACGTCTATTTGAAAGTGTCTAAGCGTCTTACACTGTTGCATGTATGGGCATCAAATAGACATATTGTTCTCCCCATTTACTAGAAAACAGTGCTTCGTAAATGGACTGGCCCACCTCTTGTTAGCTTTTTTGGCACACACCGCTTCCATGCAAACTTGATGGTCTATTGAAGTAATGTGATATGATTCATTGCATTCATTTAGCTTAAAGGTGCATTGTGTAACTTTTCTGCATAGGGATGTTATTGTTTTGTCTGGATTGTTTCACAGTATGGTTAAACCTTTCTGTCTTCATGGAGATCAAAAAAGACCAAGTTGCAGGTCAAATCTGTGGAGAGGCAACCCTAGTCACAGTCAGAATGCCTGCTTCTCTAGGTATTTTTGAGCAATAAAAACAGCTGTAATTGAATAAATGTGAGGTAGATCTGTTTAATGTCATATTGTGGAACATTCCAGGCAAAGTAATATTATATTAGAAACAAGCAGGTGACATACCCACAACCAAAAAGTTACATAGTGCACATAGTGTTTTAGGAATTACCATGATTTATTTCACAGTTTTTAATCTTGAGGTGCAAATTCTTTTGTTGTTCTCTTTTGAATAGGAAATCCTACAATAATGTCTAGTTACAAATATATCTTGTGTTGCACTGCTGTGAGATTGTGCCAGTGGCTGGATTGTAACATCCTGACCTTTGACCACAGAGATAAACAATGAATAAGCCTCTGTGTAAATCCTATAATGGCCGTGCACATGCCAGCAGATGTTACCATGAACCTTGAGTCAACTTATATGTACAAACATCTGCTAAATACAACTTAAAAGTAAACGTTGAATGTGATCAAGTGTTTAAGAGTCTGAAAATGAAAGTATCTGAATGAAGATCTACGTACTTAACTCACTATATAAATTTAAGTAAAAAGGGTGAATGTTTTGTTGGTTTTATTTTGGACAGTTCTATCTCTCAGTGTTTTTCCATTTGATGTGTATCCAGAAAGAATACTCAGATCTAGGACATATTCTTCCACCTA